AAAAGGTTTCCTAAACACTGTGAAAAGAATGCGGAGCGAACTGGAGAATGGTAAAGGAGAGTAAGGGATTGCTGTGGTTTGAATAAGTGAACAGGATTGGGGGGGGGGCTATCTGACTGCACTCACACAACAAATTTCCTTTAAAATCTACTGTTGGAACAGCGTTGGAGTACCCTAGTATTGCAATTCGGGCTTTGAAGCTATGGATACCTGAAATCTTTAGCCTTTACTTTGCAGTTGCACTCAATGATGGCCTTCATTACTACAACCTCACACCTACTTTGCTGAAGCCAACTTTTCAGCGAAAAGACCTTCGAAGGTCGTCTGGCAATGGCGGCTATACTTCCCCTTGCCATGGTGATTAAATTCTTCAAAACTGTCACGACTTTTGGATGTGTGACCTCGACAACCGTGAATGATGTGATGGGTTACCCCCCTCTGTAGTTTTTTTTGAAAGATGGGCTTGAGTTTAATGCAGATACCCACCTGAAATGGCAGACAACTGTAGCTAAGCCATAGTTTATGAAGGCGAAACGTCAAAATGGTTGTCATCCAACTTTTACGACTACATCAGACCCAAAGTGTTCTGGCCTCCGAACTCCCTCTCCCCTCCCCCAGATCCTAACCCGATTGGTCAATAGATATGACTCGGATTATGTTGAGAAAGGCACTACTCACTATAGTAGTTTAACAGGACCTAGTTAATGGACAGAAGAAAAATAGTTTGTAAGACCCTTTCCAGGGAAAGTTCAAAATTATCTCACTCCTATTTCCTAAATTGACTACAAAATTTATTCTAGACACTGCGTATATCCATCAGATTTGCGTGTTGCAAGTCATTACTTGTTCCTACATGTTGCTTATCAAAAATTTGGTAGAAAGTTATATGAATGCCCTAGGTATGTATGTTATCTCTCAAGGTACTATTTTTGTAGCAAAATATTTGGATCTAACCGGAGTTTAACTGGAAAATCGAGGAACACATCTAGTTAGATAGCAAGCAGATAAGCTATTGAGCCGTAATGAGTATTGCTTTATTTGGTTTTTGAGCATTTACTTGTCTGAGTTCTCTTTTGGGGACGAGTTCATCTTTTTGTGTTTTAATACTCCTGTATTTTTCATTAGACTTTCATGGACATGGCGGGCCTATGTCCCCTGACAGTGGTCTCGTCACTTCTATTTATATACATCTTTTTCCCCCCAATGCTATATTTATCACATCTCTACACGCATTTTGCGTGTAAGGGCTTTTGACACTGTTGAAGATTTGTCAAATAATGCATGAGAGCGATTGGACAAGAACGTTTAACTTGCGCGTTAGAATAGCTTGTCTGCATATGCGTAGATTAGCGTAGTCAACTGTTCACTTTTTTTCACCGTTTGGCATATTGGTCACCAACACCATGACCGCCCGCTAGCTCCCCATCATTGGTGTATGTGGGCGGTAGGTGCGGTTTAATAGGCAACTGGCACACCCACTATTTATAAGTGACTTTGGTTTCTATTTTTCAGTCTGGACTACCGCATGCACAACAGAACTGGGGGGAGGGTGAAGAAAGTTCGTGCGTTTCCGTTTTGTCAACAGAAAACTCGTTAACTTCGCAAGGAAAGCGATTCCTTGTTGAAGGCGAGTACCGCATATGAATTATGTGGCGTAACGCTGTTGGGTGAACCATGAAGTTGACAGGGCTTTCTTACTCTCCTTCTTTTGAGTTGGAAAGGCCGTGCTCGCTGTGTTTTACTGAGAATGTTCTCTTTTTAATTTACTGTGGCTACATTTTTGTTGAAATTTACTGAGCATTTTAAAGTATGTACCACCATTTAAACTAGAAATGTTTTTCATGAAAATTCAATGGAACCTGTACTGTTTCAATAGGTGGAATGTGCCTACCTATGTTAGAGGTGGGAGGTGTTCAAGAAGAGGTAGGTAATGGCGTCGAAATTCCAGAGTCGTGCATTATTTTAATTCTGCAAGCACGGAGTTGTCCATATTCTCATTTGAAGCATAGTTGTTGCGCAATGATGTGGTGTTCACATTTTGTAACTTAACACCTCAGTTTATTTAAGGAAGTGGTTATGTTCACGAAGCTCATATCCGTTTGGCCTTTGATTCCATTTTTAATTCTTCAACTGTAATTTATTGGCATCTTATTAAGTACTATGAATTTTTTAGCAAAGAAATTCTATCAGGTTACAAACTTGAACTGTTCTTCATATTTATAGACATATATTTTTAAAAGTGATTTCCTTATTTGTTCAAGGAACCGGCCGAAGAGGATCTTTATCAGGGTTATGCCTACTATGCGGAAACCCTCTTTGCAACCGATGTTCACCAATGGGTTTCTATTATTTCTGAATGTCCTAAAGTCTTCTTTACTCTTCGACGGTGTCATCGTCGTATGATCAGTACCATTTACAAGCAGGTTAGTTTTTTTTCTTTGGTCTCCCAGTGCTTTTGTATTTTTTAATTGAATGAAGACAAAAAGACAATATCATTCAAAAGACAACTATTGAAGAAGAAGATGCATCAATTCCAATTTTGATACTTCTAGAGAAGGTCTTTTAATGGTTGAATCCAACTTAGAAGGGTAAGGGTAAAGACTCGCTCTCTCAAACGAGAGTGGTAGGTAAAAACGCAGCAGAATAGTTCAAATATAGGAGAACAAAGGAGAGGCGTCATAAGACGAAAAGTATCACAGTATCGGTGCAAGGTTTCAAACGCAGATGTTAGCTTATCGAAGTATTTTGCTTCACGAACATGTCTTCATGGTCTTCAGTTTCGCTAGTGATGTATTATTATGTATATTCCTATCTTAGTATAGTTGAAGCTCTACCGTGTCTGATTTATCTTGAGTTTATTTTATAGAAAAGGTATTTTGGGAACTTTAAATAATGAGCCTAATTTCACTACATGATATCATGGACTATTTCCTGTTATTCACTCATCTATAATGATGAAAGCATGATAATTGCGGACAAATCTTAAGACAGACTCATCAATAATTTTACTGGAGCCATCGTTTATATGTGTGATTTCCTTTCATACTAATTTTGTTATTTCTTCCTAAACTAGTGACCGTCTGGCCTTAGCTATTCATATTGATAAGATTGGTTGATTGATGGTGTCGTACCTTAAGGGTAACCACTCTTAATTCAATTCTTCTATTTTTCAAGGTCTCCCTTCGGCATATGCACGACCTCGAAATGCGTTTTGCTGATCCGCACACTTGTCCTCTGTGTGTATCAACTGTCCCAGAACCTATTACCACTTCTACAATCATTGGAAATACCAATAGTGGCGGTCTCTTCTCCCGCCCAGTGTTCCGTCGACTTTCAAGCACTAAATCTCCCAATCAACAACAGCTCTCACACACTCCAACCACCACTACGAATACCTCGTCCTCCTGCAGTAGCTCTGGGGAACTATCTCCCCCACCTGGAAGTATTTTGATTCCCCCTGTTTCCGGGGGAGGTCCTATTCTTGGCGCAGGGTCTCGAACTTGCAGTCAAATGGTCATTGCTTGGAGATACCTTCTGCCCAGACTCCTACTTATGCCGATCTATCAAATACTCTACTTGGCCGATCTACTGGATGTGAGTGAATGTCATAAATAAACATTACAATTCAGTTTATTTACAACACTAATCGTTTATTCGCAAAAGCTCGCATTATATAGCATCCATCCTTTCGATGGTGGCTACCTTAAACTCATTGAACATGGCTATTTCTCGCTCCAGTTTTTTTAATATTCTGGGGCTTTTCAATTTGGTAAATTGTGGATTGTGAACAGTTATCTCTTTAGTAAGCATTTGCTTATTTTTCGGCGAATATTAGCATGAAGTCGAGATTATTAAGTTGCGAGTCTGATATTCTTTGAGATTCAGTCGCATTTTATCATAGATTAGTTATACGGGCGTTGATGCTCTGTCTTCAGTGATTATGTATCCCCTTCCACATGACCCCTTGAATTTATCCAACTGGTTCAATCGAGATACTTTTGCAGCTTATCTCTTTCTGATGGATAGTGGCTAATGCTTCATTAGGTCGATGGTTCTCGTGGATGCATTAATTATGGATTAATCATCGTAGTTGATATTGTGTCTTATAAAGCAGTAATTATACGTTCAGATTTACTTCCTATCTATTTCTGGTTCTTCTACACTACTGTCTCAGTCTTGTCGTATTTGCCTTCATTCTAGTTCCTGTTTTGACTTTAACGACCTGAATGATCTTCGCTGTAAGAGAGCAGGTTGATGTTTCAAATTACTAATTAATAACCATCCAACACGTTATAGGTTGCTAAGTTGTTTAAGGTAGCATTGAGTCTGTTGTTATCCGACCATTGTTTTCCTAGTCGAATTTCTCAATTGGCTCCTATTTATTTATAGGAGCTGTGCACTTTCCCCAACCGAGATCCCCAAGAACAGGCTATCCTTCACGATGCAGCTTCTATGCTCTACAAGACTCGCAAAGCGGTTTCTCAAGAGCTTTCTCATGCAAGAGAGACCACGGGATGGATTCATACCCACTTACCTCGGCTAAGTTTCCTTCATACAACGCCTCTCTCCACGCGACCGGCTTTTTGTCTCCCGGTGGAAGCCAGAGTACGATTGGCTGAGGTCATTTCAGCAGCAAAGAATAGCATTAATACAGGGAGTAGTGCAATTAGCGATGTTGCGGCTTGTCGACTTACCGTGAAGGACTATATAATGTGTAAGTTTCAAGTTGAGATTGATTGATCGGCATTTTCTCTCTTAAAGCGAATATACATGTTTTAGTACTTCGCAATCAATTGGCAAGTCAGTCTTTCGGATTTTTTTTTTATTTTGCTCAATTCGATGATTACTATCGATTAAGATTCTTAATTTCATCTCTCCTGGAAGTCTCTAAATTAGCAGCTCATTTTTTACAGATTAGTTGTGATATGAGACCTATAATGCAAATGAGATGAGAACGCCAAAACGATAGAAGCTTTACTAAGTCAAGGGGGCCGTAGTGAACGCAAGCGCGTGGGGGGGGGGGGGGGGGGGTGAGGTCACCTGCCTCATCTAAGTTGTAGTTAGTTGAGGCCAATTCTAGCAGATATTGTAGTGGAGATAAGTGACCATTCCTATTTGCTATATTTTAGTTTTGATGGGTGTAATTCGCTTCTTAAAACACTTGATTTTGCACTCTGAAATTTGTTCCGATTTGTTGAATTTACGAAACTCAAGCTAAAGCTACAAATTTCTATGCTTTTGCTTTTTTTGCCATCAGGCCTTAATCAATAAAGGAAACACTGCACTTTTCTAATTTTGGTCTTGTTTTGAATGTCGTACACTTACATGATCAATGGGACGTAAAAATCGGCTACGAAACCTGTTCAATTGTTACAATTAACGACCATAACTTGCTAGCTTTATCGCCCGATGGTGACAATTATTAAGGGCAAGAACATTTCAGCAAATTGTTCATAATAAATGAAGAGTATTGTAATCTTTCCTTAATTGCCTTTCTCCAGCTGGAGTGGTTCAAGTGCGACAGAATCCTGCCAAGATCGGTTTATCCGATCGCATGGTCTATCTCTTCACCGATTGTCTCCTCCTACTCAAACGCTCAGGTCAACAACGTCGATTGGGTGGTAATGCCCTCACAAATGTTGCTATAGCAGCCGCTGCTGCACTCTCCAACCCCACTTCTTCGAATTCCACCGCTTGTGGCAACAGTGGACTTTTGCTCAAAAAAGGTGTGCCTTTGACTCACTTCCACCTCACTGATTTTGGAATGCAGATTCATCCTGAAACCGGAGAGGCTGGGTTTCTCTTTGAATTGGAATATTGGAGGGATGTGTCCGTGGTCTCACGCAATAGTCATCACTTGAAATCTGAGCATAGTAAATCTCCTTCGGAGCACAGTCATCAACCTCACAATGAACCCTTCTCAACTCTCTCCCTTCCCAAACAGGGAAGCGCTGTTAGCTTGTCTGAGTTTGTTCAGACGTCTACTAGGCGCTTGTCCGGATCTTCTACAGCTCTCAACACACTTTCGACGGAGAAATTGGCAAATAATTCGAGCTCGGTAGGGGAGACGATAGCAAACTCATCGGCGCCGGCTAAAAGGATCATTTTTAGTTTAAAAACGGCGGAAGAGAAGGCGGATTGGATGGCCACTCTGATTGCTATTCAACGGAAAGGGTAAGTGGACTTTAACCTGTGCCATATGAATTTTAATTTGTATTTTATGCTCTTTGATTCCGTGAATAATCTAAGTGTTGGCCAGTTGAGATGGCTTATCAAAATTTTAGTCTTTTGATCAGCATAGAATTGTTTACGTAATTATTTGCACTTGAAATATGAACTAGCCAATAGGATCCGCGACTTAATGACTGGGTTCTCTTTGTCTCCAATTCACTGACAATTTGCGGACAATAGTCTGGTGTGAACTTGGTTTTGACGAATACTGCTTTCTTTGCTAATTTTCAAATATACTTTTGCAAACGTGTGGTCTACAAATCTTTTCACTTTTGCATGGTAGCACATCAGCTATTGAATATTTTTATGATGGGCTATGTTATGTATGTCTTGTCTTCACGAGTACCGATTACCTAATATGGTTATATTTATTTATTTCAAATGGCAGGCGTTTTGATAGTTATCATTGGTCCTTTAGCTAATTTCAGGCTTTACAGAGGAGGAGGGGGAACATCAAAGTCGCAAAAAGTCGAGAGGTGGAACAGAATAATGATTCACAGATGTAAAAGAGACAGACAGGCTGACAGAATAATGATTCACAGACGTAAAAGAGACAGACAGATATGACACAAAGTTATAAAAAAGGTAAGATGAGTACTGTGAAAGGGGGCGAATCGAAGGTAGAAATTAGGTGAGGTGAGTACTGCGGAATTAGCCGAATATGAAATGGATGTAGAGAAAAAGTTATGGTGATGTGAGCACTGTGAAAGTATTCGAATATGACATACAGTGGGGTGATGGTAGTTTGAAGTCAGAAGTCAACTGCCGATTAATAGACATTTTTGTCGTATGAGTATACGTTGCCCAGGGTGCATCACGTTGAGGTAAGTCTATCACACACCCCTTACCTAGTATGTTATAAATATCTTTTACTTTAGCACTAAGAATAACATAAAAAAGTCGAATGTTCTTCATACTACTGAATAACTTTCACGGGCTCATTCCTCTCTTGCTACTGCGTTATCGACCATCGGGTTTCCACACGCCTGACTGCCATTTCGCCATTGCCGCAATCATCGACCAACTTATTGCCTCTGTATGGGTCTCAAAATATTAAAATTTATTAAATATGTGCTCTGCATAATTACCTCATAATAGAAATACGGTGCCTCTATCGTTTTACAAGTAATTTCTCTGCTTTTTCTCACAGGGGCTACATTTATAAAATTGAAATTTATTAAAAGCGGATAATTTTTACTCTGCTACTTGTAGAATATTTACACGATATCTGCATGAACTACCAAAACAGGAAATCCCATTGATTTTACCCGACCCGGAAGAGTATTGGTACGTCACACAGCTGAACGGTACTACTTATCGATAGTACAAGTAGTTTGAACTAACTATTTGCTTTCGTGTTGCTTATAGCTTCGCTCAGCCTGACTCCTCTTCAAATATCCTCTTCGAGCCACCTCGAACTGACAGTTCTGCGGAGCTTGCTGTAATTCGTGCTGCAACCATTAACAAACTCATCGAACGCGTGACCTCTCATACCTGTTTTGACAGCCGCACAATTCGTACCTTCCTTCAAACTTATCGACGCTACCTCTCGGCCACAGAGTTGCTTGAACTCCTGATTAAGAGGTTTAATATGCCTAGACCGGACTTTGACCGCGCACTCCGAGCTTCACTCGCCAAAGAAAACAATGGTATTGAGGCAGGAAGATCATTTTCGGATATTGCGTCCCTTGTGCCAAGAATGGAGCTTAGATTCAACTCGACTTATAAGAGGAGAATTCAGCATAGGCGAGTGAAGTGGTTTTGTAATGTATCATTTTCGATCAATCTAATTAATGCCACTATTAAGGTAATTTTCGTGCTAAATGTCCTATGAACTTTATTATGCACCGATGACGTAGCAGTCAGTGAACAAATACAGTGAATGATATGATTCACAGTAACGATCAATATAAGAATTTTAGAAGCCTCATTCCGTATCAAAGACGCTTCACAGCACTTATTATCAGCCTACAGTGAGTTTTATCAAACAGATCAATGTTTAGTGGTGTACTTATTGAGGCGTTGTGGCCAACCACAACATGTAGGAGTATGGTAGCCTCCAGTTTAAGTAAGGATGGGCGCACTGGTCCAGGAGAGAAGCCATACAGCCAAGGTTCCCAAGTGGTGCGGTAGGGGTATCGCTCACTTGAATGTCCTGCACATGATAGCCCAGAGGTTGTGCGATGAGTTACACCTATCCCTGTCGCCACTCGCCCACGGAAATTCCCACTTCATTCATTTCTTCTTTTTATTTGAGTATTTCTGTCCTCTGCTGCTTTTCATCACATTCATTTCTCATCCAGCCGCTCGATTTCGTTACACTCTTCTTTTCCATCCATTCATAAATATACCTTCATACTTCCACTTATCCATTCCTGAACTTCTAACATCTTCCCGATTTCAAGAGTGTACTCAATCAGCCGATTAATGCTGACAATACACTTTCACTGCTCCACATTTTAACCTCTGGATTTGACTAAATGTCTCGTAGTTTATCACTGTTTCATTGAAGCTGGTTAAGTTCCATCACGTTTTACGAGAATTGTGTAGAAGTTGGTGAAACCAATGTGATAGAAACCGAATATCCCATATTCGATGCCTTTTTTAATTGAGCATTGCTAATAATTTCTATGTTGGTTAGCGGGAATTGTTTTGAGCAGAAATCCCTTCTAATAAATGCAAAGAGGGCATTTTTTTACCATTATTCCTAAGTTAATTTCCATCTGAATTTTAAAGCATTTTTGAAATCTACCTTCTTTTCTATTTAGATTGTCCTTTTTCATTCCACTAGTTAGAATTCCAAGTGTCTTATAACTTTATTCGAATATGTTTACGTGTTTAGTTTGGGCATTTAACCTTTTAACGCATTTATTACCGTGCGGTCCTCTTTCAAAATAAGCTCCATTGGTACTAGACTCGTAACACAGAAGGCGCTATTGCCGTTTGAAGCATGCTCAATATGTTTATAGACTTCGACTGACACCCCCAAAACTAATCATGTCGGCATCGATCTACTGGGAAATACTTGGGTGCGATTGGGTGTATTTTTCGAAAAATAATTCGGACGTTAAAGGGCTAAAGTAGAAAAACATACAATTTTATGCAAAATTATGTGCTGTTTTAGGGGTTTGTGGCTTGTTACGTGAGATCTTATTATTTGGCAGTAAATTAAGTACGCTTTAAAATACAGGGATGCATAATTACACCGCCGTACCGATATTATTTATATATTTATTCGGACACGAAGGAATCAATGAATCCAACATCCTTTTTATGTCTTGAGTCTTGAATGGCTTTTTCTCCTTGTTGGTTTCTCGCGTGTTCGGTGTCTGCCACTATGCAAACCAACCCACCTACCACTTGCAAGTCAATCCTATCGAGTAGAGTACACGTGTATAAAGGCTCAAGGCTTGGATTTGCTCCTAAGTGGTTAACTTCTGCTCTGTAGGGTGAGCAGTTGTGCAATGAGATTGTCAGTAGCAGACCCACACTTTCATTATTGTTATTATTATCATATTAACCTACTTTAGCTTCACTTCAATCAATTCGGTTATTGGTTTGGTCAATATCTTTATCTTCTCCCAATGGATGGGTAATATTGAAAAAAAAAACAATTTGAAGGATCAGTTTCTCATTGAAGATTCTCACTTAAGGAGAGATTGCTCGCAAAAATTAAAGACTGTCGTTAAATGTTAGTTCCAATACTTATTTATAACAAATGGTAGGCGTTTTGGTTATCATTAACCCTTTAGTTGACTTCGGGCTTCACAG